GGATGGATCTCCAGATAGCCCGCTGGATCTCCGCGGCAGAGGCGGCATGCCGGAGCCGGAGCACGTCCCCGCCCATCCCCCGCCCCGCGCGCATTCATCGGGCTACAGATTTAGTGTACAGGCTACAGGCAGAGGCCGCAGGGCAGGTCCAGAGTCCAGGGCGCTGGCACTGGCAGCGAAGAAACAGTGCGCAGGCAGGCCGTGTGCAGTGCAGTGACGATCTGCGGTGCGACTAGTAGCATCCAGCGTGCATGGGCGGGCGTGTCGTGTCTCGCCCGGGCGACGGCACCGCGGGGCGCGGGGGTGTGGCCCTGGCCTCGGCGTGCATCGTCTCCTGGCCGATCCCACATTCCCACTCTGCCTAGCTGCGCTGCGGCGCCGGCACGGCAGCACGCATGCATGGCCTGTTCGTTCAGGTTCAGCCGTGTTCCAGGAAAGATTAGCTAGATCAGCATCAGGATGCGGAATCTGACAGCGAACGCTTGCCTCTGCCCTCTGCTTTCCTTCCTTCCATTGCTCCTGACCGTGTTTTGCTAGATCAGGTCCGGCAGCTGCGACGACATCCGAATACGAATACTGGATTTGGGCAAAGAGCTTAAATCTGTTCCGATCGTTCGGGATGAACTTCCGGTATACTAGTACAGTAGAACTAGTCACTGCACTGCCAGGCGAGGCGATCTACAGCCGATCGATTCTTGCCGCTTTGGGATCAGCGGCAGGGATCGTTTTGTTTCCCAGGTCCACGTCCGATCAGGGTTCAGAATTGGTGTAGATGATGAGGCGTTTGCACGTGCTACGGCGGCGCTAGGCGGTCGCTCCTTTCCTATACAGGCACCGTCCGAACGCTAACGCCCGGATCGAAGGATGCAACTATCAGCCTCCTCGCTGCAGCTTCTTCGGCTGCGGCTGCGACTGTTTGATATAGCATCTACAGTAGATAGCAAGCCATTGTTTGCAGCTGCAGCGAGTAGGCTGTATGTAATTTATGCAAGTCAAACTAGCTTAACATTGACTAAGTATATAGTGCCGTGCCCTGAATTAGTGACTAACTCAGAATCTGGGTACCTTTAAAAAAAATGAAAACCTACAGTTCCTAGGCCAGGTTTCTCCTTCCGAGGTCGACAGCACAATGGGGCCGATTAGGTTCCCAGTAAGATGTAAACACACAGCAACAATGAAAATATTTGCTGCCTTGTGCTAAGCTACTCACATAGTAACAAGGCCACCATATGACAGACTAACATCGGAATTTTCTTTTCCCAAAAATCTCCAAACACGGCAGCTTCCTACTCTACATGCTACAGAGTACAGACGAAGTAACCAAAGATGCAACGTTCACTGCATACTACTCGTCCTCTTGGCGGAGGAGCCGGGCAAGGTTGTCTTGTCCGTGACCAGATGTCCAGATGCGCGCCACGCTCCAGTGTTCCACTCCACTACCTCCTTCCGCTTATGTATAGAGACACCGAGCAATTTCAGCACAGTACCTGTTCATAGAATTAAGTTTAAATAAATAACATCAAGTATGACATGGTTGATAGAAGCAAACATCAAAGTTAACTTGAGAACATTTAGTTCCCAAAGAAACCAATCGTTAGCGTGTTAAAGCGATAGAACATCACTATGTAAGCAAATCTAGGTCAGAGACATTGTGGACAACAAATTTCTTGAACCTGTTAGGAAGGTAATGCCTGCTTTCTTGTCAGAATCATAACAAATGTTGGGCATCAAAGTTGACCTGTTGAACTTCCTTCTGACACAGGAGTCGATACACTTTGGCCTGCACCAGCTTGGAGTCACACAGACAAGTGTTTATTTAAGCATGACAAATGTTCTACTTTAAACATATGACAAATGTTCTTTAAAAAAATATATATGACAAATGGTGCAATGCACAGGATGCGGATGCGGGTGCGGGTGAGAGGGGTGTGGGGTGTGGGGGGGATGTACTTTGGATAAAAGACGGATGCTGGCAAAGGTATTATTTAGCATTAACAGCTAAAGAGTACATTTAATGGGTGAATTCATCCTTGCAAACTTTCAAAATAGGAATGTTGTGGTACTGTATTGATTATGCAAGGATAAGCAAAAAACAGTCGATCATGCAGGAAACCAACGGATTATATCATTGCAAAGTTTCATCGAAAGCAAAATGTGGAATCTAGTGGCGCTAAAGAAATGCTACCTCAAGAAAGTTGTGTTGAGAACAAAATAAGTTGTTTCCAAGAAAGGATCAGCCATAATGATGTAATCATGCAGAAAACATGGTTTTCTTAGTGAGCATCGGGTCAAAAATGTTGGGAGAAGTCTAGGCAAGCATTCATGCTCTGAATGAAGCCCACGCCTTTTAATCCAGCCCACTTCATGACGCCTTGAAGCAATTGCTGTAGAAGAGGTTGCGAGAGCCACAGTGCTATGCTTATGCAAGGGCTAGGGCCCTCTTCCTTTATCCCGATGTTACTTAAGAAACATATTTTCTACCTCAGACCTTTTACTAAGCCATCATATCCTTTTCTTTCAGAAACAATGATAGATAGAAAAAAAAAGGTTAACTACAAAATCTGCAACTAAAAGTTTCTAAAACTCTTCTGCATGCAAGGTTCATTCATGAAAACACCAGGTGTGGTCAGTAAATTTGACTACGCATTCGTATGCTACATCAGCGCATAGTTTAGAATTACTTCTGCCTCTACTCAAACAAAGGTGTATGCTACATTAGCGCACAGTTTAGAATTACTTCTGCCTCTACTCAAACAAAGGTAGTACTAGCAATGATACAAGACTGAAGCACTAGGAGCATTGATTTCATCCAGTGAAAGCATCATGAATGAAACAATAAAAAATAAAAACATATTGAACAATAACACCTTCTCTCCGCATAGTGAGTTTAACAAACATCATCGTTATATTTCAAACCATACAAAGTTACTCAACAAGGCTAAATCCCCAATAAAATTACTCGAACGTCACCATGTCAACAGCAATCAAGATTCAGATTGATACGATCTGCAACAAATACGACGGGCGTATTTTAAGAATTCAGATAAGAATTATAGATATTACCTTGATGCATTCTCAGCTGCTAAGGTGGGGCCTCATGAACTGCATGGCCCGCCTACAATCTTCTTTGTCAGCAGCGGCACCGCCATCTCTGCTCCACAATCGCAAAGAAACAACACGTGTCAATTCGAAACAAGAACTACGAAACCAAATGGCAAATAGCTGCGACCTACGAAACGCTCTGTACCTTTGGAAGCTCACAAACACCCGTATGACGATGCGAGGAGGAAGAACGGCGCGACGGCGGCGAGGACATCAACGAGAGACAAATCGATACCCTCCGCAAACCCTAGAGCCATGGGCTTTAATAGTCCAGGTCGATGCAACAAAAGGCCTACCTGCCCATGTACATAGCAGGTCCCATTTCGTCAGTGGGCAATTTGCCATTCCTTGCTCCTTGTGCACATGATCATGAATGATTCAAAGGACAAAACTAGTCTATCACTACAAACAGCAATATATTCTACTGTAAACATATGACAAATGGTGCAATGCACAGGATGCGGGTGCTGGTGCAAGGGGTGGGGGGATGTTCTTTGGACAAAAGACGGATGCTGGAAAATGTATTATTTAGCATTGACGGCTAAAAAGTACATTTAACGGGGGAAGTCATCATTGAAATTTTCATGAAACAAAAATAGGAATATTGCAGTAGTGTATTGGTCATGCAAGGATAGCAAAAATCAGTCGATCATGCAGGAAACCAACAGATTATATCATAGAAAAGTTTCATTGAAAGCAAAATGCAGAATCTAGTACAGTGACGTTATGCTAAAGAAATGCCACCTCAAGAAAGCTGCTTTGAGAGCAAAATAAGTTGTTTCCAAGAAAGGATCAGCCATAATGATGTGATCATGTAAAAAACATGGTTTTCTTAAGCGAGCAACGGGTTAAAAATGTTGGGAGAAGTCTAGGCAAGCATTCATTCTCTGAATGAAGCCCACGCCTTTTAATCCAACCCACTTCATGATGTCATGAAGCAATTGCTGTAGAAGAGGTTGCGAGAGCCACAGTGCTATACTTATGCAAGGGCTAGGGCCCTCTTCCTTTATCCCGATGTTCACTTAAGGAACATGTTTTCTACCTCAGACCTTTTACTAAGCCATCATATCCTTTTCTTTCAGAAACAATGATAGATAAAAAAAAAGGTTAACTGAATAAAATTCTGCAGCTAAAAGTTTCTAACTCTTCTGCATGCAAGGTTAATGAAAGCACCAGGTGTGGTCAGCCAATTTGACTATGCATTCAGTATCTGGGTGTTCTCTTATTTTCCTTCGTATGCAACATGTAGTTTAAAATTACTTCCGACTCTACTCAAACAGAGCTAGTACTAGCAATAACACAAGACTGAACCACTAGGAGCATTGCTTTCATCCAGTGCCCGCATCATGAAAGAATAAAAACTAAAACATATTGAACAATAACGGCTTCTCTCCGCATAGTGAGTTTATCAAACATTGTCATTACATTTCAAACCACAAGAAATTAATCAAGAAGGCTAATCCCCACTAAAATTACTCGAACAACACATGGCAGCAGTAACCTCAGATTGATACGGTCTGTAACAAATACCACGGGTATCATTTCAGAATTCAGATAAGAATTATAGGTGCTACCGGCATTCGTAATGGTCGAGATGGGGCCTCATAAGCTGCTTGGCGCGTAACAATCTTCTTCCTGAGCAATGGCACCGCCATCTATGATCCACAATCGCAAAGAAACAACAAAATTGTCAATCGGAGAAAGAACTACGAAACCAAATGCCAAATAGCCGCGAGCCTACGAAACGCTCTCTACCTTCGGAACTTGGAAGCTCACAAAGACACGAACCCTACCCTTATGACGAGAAGAACGGCGCGACGGCGGCGAGGACATCAACGAGGAACAGATAAATATACTCCGCAAACCCTAAGAGCCGTGGGCTTTAATAGTCCAGCTCCATGCAACTCAAGGCCTACCAGCCCATGTACAGTGGCAGGTCCCATTTCGTCAGTGGGCTATTTGCCATTCCCATTTCGACCCAGGCCCAGCTAGACGGGTGGAACCGTCCACGAATCGGAGCGCAGTGTGGCGACCGCAACCGAGGTGAGCCATGTCGGCGGCCGCCGTCCTGTGCCGGCTTGGGCTCGGCCTCCGCCGCCTCTCCACACTTCCCGAGTTCCCTGCGGCCGCGGCCGCGGCCGGGCGCCGCAGCCACAGCACGCGACCTCGAAGGACGCTTACTTCGCGGTGGTGCACAACCTCTCCACCATCGTGCGACGCGACTTCTACCTGGAGCGCACCCTGAACCGCCTCCGCCTCCCGTCCCCGTTCCCTCCCGACCTGGCGCTCCGCGTCATCCGCGCCGCCGCCCCCGCCGCGCCGCTCCACGCCACGCGCTTCCTTGCTTGGCTCCGCGCCAAGCCGTCCTTCACCGCCTCCGCCGAGCATTTCGACGCGCTGCTCCTCCCGCTCGCGCGCGCGCGGCTCTTCCCGCACCTCTGGTCCCTCGCCTCCGACATGCGCGGACTCGGCCTCCCCCTCTCGCCGACCACCTTCTCCGCGGTCATCTCGTCCTACGGCCACTCTCGCCTCCCCGACCAGGCCGTCGAGGTGTTCAACCGCCTCCCTCGATTTGGCTGCCCGCAGACCACCGAGGTCTACAACGCCCTCCTCGACGCGCTCTGCGCCAACGGCAACTTCACCGGCGCCTGCAAGCTGCTCCGCAGGATGGCGCGCAAGGGCGTGGCCCCGACCGCGCCACGTTCAGCACCCTCGTTGACTCCTGGTGCGCGGCGGGGAAGCTCAAGGAGGCGCAGGCGTTCCTCGACGACATGGCTAGCCGCGGGTTCCGCCCGCCGGTGCGCGGCCGTGACCTCCTCGTCGACGGGCTCGTCCGCGCTGGGCACTTAGAGGAGGCTAAGGCCTTCGCCCTCCGCATGACCAAGGAGGGCATCCTCCCTGACGTTGCTACATTCAACTCCCTTGCCGAGGCGCTCTGCAATGCTGGAGATGTGGACTTCGCCGTGGCTCTTCTTGCTGATGCTTCCAGTCGAGGCCTCTGTCCAGACATCTCAACATACAAGGTAATGCTACCAGCTGTGGCCAAGGTTGGCAAAATTGAGGAGGCATTCAGGTTGTTCTATGCGGCTGTTGAGGATGGCCATCGGCCATTCCCGAGTCTCTATGCAGCGATCATCAAGGCGCTTTGTAAGGCAGGGCGCTTCGCAGATGCTTTCGCCTTCTTTGGTGATATGAAGATGAAGGGGCACCCACCGAATCGCCCTGTGTATGTGATGCTTGTCAAAATGTGTGTGAGGGGCGGTCGGTTTGTGGAGGCTGCAAATTACCTCGTTGAGATGAGTGAGGCAGGGTTCACACCCCGGGCACCAACCTTTAATGTTGTAGTTGATGGGCTTCGACATTGTGGGAAGCATGACCTTGCCCGGAGATTGGAACAGCTTGAGGTGTCCCTGAAGGGAAATTAAATGGATGGGGAACTAGATGCAGTTTTCTCTTCCAGTTGGGGCCTTGCAAGCTGCGTGGTGCTGCTACTAGATTTTCAGGTAGAAATGGCACTTACATTTCTTCTTCATGTAAATTTTTATCTCTTTCCATAAGCTAGTATATGCTATTTTGTTGTGTCTAATAAAGTTTTCTAACTTCTCAACGGTCCACAATAAGGTTTATGGATTATTACTTTTTAATCTGTAAACGGATCATCTATTCCGTGGTTAAATGGTGTATACTTTTAGTTAATGAATTCACAGTTGAGTTGTGCACTGAAAGCTATCATGATCAACAGAAGTATATACAGTAAGTTGAATCAGTGATTGTATTAAATGTATTTATGTATTGTTAATTGTCCCCGTTGATGCTCAATAATGTGGAAGAAATACTCAGAATATTTGATTGAATACCAACTTTAGGAGGCAAGTTGCCTTTGTTGTACAGTTCCATAGCTCAATGTTGCTGCTTAAACCCCTGATGCATTTGTACCAATTAACTGTCTTGAAATTACGATATTTTTACTCCTGATTTGTCATCTAAATTTGTCTCTCCTATAACCTTACTTTCTTACTTATGTACCTACAGTGATGGAATCATATATAGCAAACCCAATGTTAATTTACAATTTGACCCTAGAAGACAAATGCAAAATGAAGTGACGATTCTTTCTTAGTAGCAGCTAGATGCTTAGGTAATTTTCTTTACTTCTAAGACTTCAAAGCAAGTGAAAAAAAATGAATGAATGACATCAGTTGGATAAAGAAGGGGGAACTTGTCTATATTTACTACTACAATGTACAGTCTGTACATATGACATATCTAATTTGCTGGGATAGTCTAGTTTTGTTCTATCTATAAATAAATAAATGTGCCTAATTTTGTCCTATGGTAGATGTTCGCAAAGTGAGCAGAAGTTAGGACCTGAAGCTCAAATACTATTGAAATTTATGGTTGATGGTACAAAAGGATTTATCTGTTCGGTATAAATGTGAGTTTTGAATATAGACTACACTGTCTTATTACTACTCAGAAAAATTGTGTAGCATTGGTATTCCTCTACTGAATTGTAAGGTTTCTAATAATCTAAACATGAACTTAGTAATTAGATTTGTGTTGATATCATTTGGTTTGCCACACTACCTTTGTTTCATGAATCTCGTATCACAGCACCACTTTTTTTTCGCTGGAACTGAACATGTGTCATTTGTTTTGGTTTGACGTACCTCCTATTTCAAAATGATGATCACGATGGTTGTGCTCCTTGCGATTCTGCAAAGCTGACAGTTATTACCTCAGTAGTTTTGTTATTGTTTGCCTTATTACCAGTGTCTCAGATTGGCCTTGGTTATATTTTGATTTTTCTTTCTTGTTGGCACTTTCCACTTTTCCAGTGTCTCGGTCTTTCCAATTTGATCTTGGGGAGGATCAGTTTCAAATGTCGACAAACGGTGACGTCAGGATTCAGCTAAACGCGTGTCCAGTCTCAAACGTCTTCAGTGCGTTTCGCCATTCGCCATTCACCATTCCCACCGATTCGAGCCCGTCTTCTTTGCCCCCCAACGGCTGCCTCCAGATCGCACCGCCGCCGCCTATTCACTCCCCTCGCCTATCGTCGCCGCACGTCCTCGAGGTGTGGGGCGTGACCGGAACCAGTCGCGCCGTGCCGTTGCCAATCGGATCGGCAAGTGAGGTCAGGGTTCAGGATGCCACCTCCGGCACCGGGATCCAACGACACCCCCGTTGTCGAGCGCTGGGCCTCACTGCCTGAAGATCTGATCCGCCTCTGAAGATTTGATGTCCATTGCTGGTCCAGGGCAGTAGCAAAGGCTACATGGTTTACCTCATGAAGAGCAAGCATAACGGTGATGACCCCACCGCTGAAGGAAGCAGAAGCACAGATTGACTCCGCGAGCCTTTTGACCCTGTGTGGCGCAGGTAAGGTATCCAGCAGTGTGCCTAGCTGCGGGAGGACGGTTGCGAGCGGTGGGAGCTCAGCGATGTCGCCAGTGAAAGGGTGGACGAGGCGGACGGCGCTGTCCTGGTCCCGTAGCAGGACGAGGAGGCCGTGGACCGAATCGACGACGCAGTGGTCGCTGAAGAGAGGGATGTGGGCCCGGACAAAGGTCCCCGTGTCGAGGTTGAGGAAGCGGATGTACCCGCGCAGGTGAGGGTGGCCGGGGTGAAGGCCGTGGCCCTCCGGAGGCATCATCCAGCGGCGCGGGTGGAAGCGCGGGTCGACGACGCCGCGACCGCGAGGGGAGGCGGTGGCGGACCGCCAGCTGCCGCAGACGGCCCGGAAGCGGACGTAGTCCAGCAGGTCGCCGGCGAGCACGCGCGACGAGACGAGGCGGATCAGATCCTCGGGCAGTGAGGCCCAGCGCTCGGCAACGGGGGTGTCGTTGGACCCCGGTGCCGGAGGTGGCATCTTGAACCCAGCCCTCACTTGCCGATCCGATTGGCAATGGAGCGGCGCGGCTGGTTCCGGTCACGCCCCCGCACCTCGAGGACGCGCGGCGATGCGAGGCGAGGGGAGTGAAGAGGCGGCGGCGGGATCTTACGGCGGCCGTGTCGAATCGGTGGGTGGGCGTGGGGCGGCGAATGCGGAACGCCCGGGGGTGGGGAACCGTGTGGCTTCGTCGCAGCGAACGGACGTGTGCGGGAAAACGAAACGCTGCGTCCTGCCGTCACCGTTTGCCGACTCGCAGATGATGATGATGCACCTAACAATGTTTAATTTTTTTTTTCAAAGCTAACACTTTTGGCCACGCCTATATCTCTGGCGCGGCGAAACGCTTGTGCCGCGCCATGCATGGTGGCGCGTCGAGAGGGGTGACATGGCGACGACCGGGACGCTGACCAGTGACGTGGCACGGTCTGCCGCGCCACCGATCTTGACGCGGCCTGACGCGCCATAGACCACAGCGCGGCAGTCCCAGGTAAATATCGTCCACGAGCTGCCGTCCTCCCTCTGTCTGCCTGTCCGCCGCCGCGCCTGCTCACCTGGCCGCCCGCCTTGCCTGCCCGCCTCGCCGCCGCACGTCGCTCGGCGCGCCTGCCGCCGGCCGCATGTCGCCCGCCGCGCCGGCCGCGCCACGAACGCCGGCGCGCCACGGCCGCCGGTCGCCAGCCGCGCACACACGCCACCATGACGACGACGCCCGCACGACCACGACGACAATGCACGCCGGCAGCGAGTAAGATTGATTAAAGTCCTAATTAAGTGCTAATTTCGGTTTAGGCGTTCCTATAATTAGGTTAATTAAGATCTTGTCTAAGTTCTAACAATTGGTATCTGAGAAGCCGCTTAGCCTAATTCTTGAATCCTAAGACCTAATTAGTGTTTGGTTAAGATGTAAATAGCCTCGGATTTGTCCGATTCAAAATTCTTTAAGCTAAATCAGAATATAGGGTTTCGCTTAAGCACCGAAAAGGAAGGGAGTCGAATCAACTTCAACACTAAGCTCCAGTTTTCGTCCAAATCCAAACCCTAGGAATGCAGATTACTCAAATCCGGTAACAATCCCCAACCCTAAGATCAGTAAGACGCTTTTCACTTACCTTAAAAACTAAGATGGCGCCGTCGGGCTCCTTCACGAGTTCGCCGACGGCCACAAAAGGGAGCCACGCCGCTGCCCTGCTATGTGCACGCGTGGTCTCCGCGCCACGGACGCCCGCAGGCATAGAAGACGATGACAACAGGTTCATACATAGAAGTTGCTTATTTTTCTAATGAAGTTGTTTAATATGTCTATTAATGTTACTTTGAATATATATATGTGCCTTCATATTGTGTTCGTATTGCATAACAAGTAGTTCAAATTTTACAATGCTACGTAATATTAATTTGAATATTGTTAATTTGAATACTCTAACCATTTGTTTATCAATTTGTAACAGGATGGCTCCTCCCACGCAACACCAGTTGTACCCTTTTCTTAGAGTGGAATATGACGAGCCGCATCGATCACACTTCTTGACTGACACCGACACAGAGGTGCCCTTGCCTCCTTTGAGGCCCCACTGAAAGGTCCTAATGGCTAGAGGGGGTGAATAGCCTAATAAAATTCTACAACAACACTTAACAAAATGTGTTAGACAATTTTGCGGCGAAGCGGGTGTTGCGCTAGCCTACTAAAATGCAAGCCACCTACCACAATTCTATTTCGAATAGTGTATGTCCACACAATAGCTATGACACTTAGCTAAATTAGTGTGCTCTCAAAGACTAACTAAAGAGCAACACTAATTAAACAAACAAGCTCTCACAACTAGCTACACTAAAAAACTTGATAACTAGTTTGCGGTAATGTAAGAGTGAGCAAGAGAGTTATACCGCCGTGTAGTGGTAGGAACCAATCAATTACAATAATGAATACCAATGTAGACCAATCACCTCGGAATCAAATGATGAACACAATGATTTTTACCGAGGTTCACTTGCTTGCCGGCAAGCTAGTCCTCGTTGTGGCGATTCACTCACTTGGAGGTTCACGCGCTGATTGGCATCACTCGCCAAACCCTCAATAGGGTGCCGCACAACCAACACAAGATGAGGATCACACAAGCCACAAGCAATTTACTAGAGTACCTTTTGGCGCTCCGCCGGGGAAAGGTCAAGAACCCCTCACAATCACCACGATCGGAGTCGGAGACAATCACCTCCTCCACTCAACGATCCTTGCTGCTCCAAGCCATCTAGGTGGCGGCAACCACCAAGAGTAACAAGCGAAATCCGCAGCGAAACACAATCACCAAGTGCCTCTAAATGCAATCACTCAAGCAATGCACTTGGATTCACTCCCAATCTCACTATGATGATGAATCAATGATCTAGATGAGTGGAGGGGCTTTGGCTAAGCTCACAAGTATGCTATGTCAATAGAAATGGCCAAAAGTGCGAGCTTGAGCCGGCCATGGGGCTATAAATAGAGCTCCAGTGAAATAGAGCCATTGTACCCCTTCACTGGGCACAACGCGGGGTGACCGGATGCTCCGATTCGATCGACCGGACGCTGGCCCTCAGTGTCCGGTCACGTGATTCACGCCACGTGTCCCCTGCTTCAAATGATGTTCGTCAGATTTCAACGGCTACGAAGCTGACCGGACGCTCCGGTAAAACTGACCGGACACTGAAGCCCTAGCGTCCGGTCATTTCCAGTAAGCTCCCCGAGGCATGTTTTTTCGACCGGACGCGTCCGGTCCACCTTGACCGAACGCAGCCAGCGTTCGGTGCTCAACCCTAGCCACTGTGCCGTCTGACAGCTCGACCGGACGCAGCCTTTCAGCATCCGGTGGCTGAGTGACCCAGCGTCCGATCAGTAGACCGACGCCAGCATCATTTCGATCAACTCCATTTCAACTCTTACTTCTTCACCCTTGCTCAAGTGTGCCAACCACCAAGAATTTTGCATCCGGCGCAATAGAAAATAGACATTTCATTTTCCCGAAAGCACCGAAAGAGAGGGACCCAAACCCATCTCAACCCTACAAACACCTTGTGCACATGTGGTAGCATATTTACACAAATATTATCAAGGGTGTTAGCACTCCACTATATCCTAAATGCATATGCAATGAGTTAGAGCATCTAGTGGCACTTTGATAACCGCATTCCGATACGAGTTTCACCCCTCTTAATAGTACGGCTATCAAACCTAAATATGATCACACTCTCTAAGTGTCTTGATCACCAAAATAAAATAGCTCCTACAAGTTATACCTTTGCCTTGAGCTTTTTGTTTTTCTCTTTCTTCTCTTCAAGTTTAAGCCCTTGATCATCTCCATGCTATCACCATTGTCATGTTATGATCTTCATTTGCTTCTCTACTTGAAGTGTGCTACCTATCTCATGATCACTTGATGAACTAGGTTAGCACTTAGGGTTTCATCAATTTACCAAAACCAAACTAGAGCTTTCACCCGCACGCACACCAGGGCGCACCAGTGGGACGAGCGTTACGCGTCGTACATATGGCGTGGCAGCTTCCTCGAGCTTGTCCATGTTGTCAACTACGGTCTTCCGCCCCTTGACCCAGCACTACTTACTACAGCTGTAGACAGGTGCGAGTGCCTTCATTGTACATAAACATTCTTATAACAAATTTGAGTCAACTAACCGTCGTTCTATTCTTATACCAGGTGGAGGCCTGAGACCCACATGTTTCACCTACCTTGCGGCGAGATGACCTTAATCATACAGGACGTGAATGCTATCTTTGGCCTTCGGTTTGGGGACTTCTAGTGACAGGTATAGTTGACAACAATTACTGGAGGAGCTGGTGGCTCAGTTCACTGGCTTTCTTCCACCGGACGACGAGGTTTCCAAGAAAAATAAGTGAGCAATTCAAGTCTATTTAATAATTGCATTGCTTTTCTGCAGCCATTGGGTCTCATTTTCTTTGGTGAATTTCAGAAAAAGTTCCAGTGTTTCGTCGTCGTGGATCACAGAGCGCTTTGATTACTTAGACCCACAGGTTGATGAGGCTCAGATCGACAGGTTCGCTAGAGTGTGGCTCTGGCACTTCCTCGGTGCTTTCCTATTCCTAGACGCCTCGGGTAACACCATTAGCTAGATCTTTCTTGACATACTACGCCAGCCGTAGGATAACATAGCGGCATACAGCTGGGACAGCGTAGTCCTGGCATGGACGTATCGACAGCTATGCGTTGCCTGCCGTCGCACCTCAATGTATGCGAACCTTGAGGGTTGCTCCTACCTACTCCAGGTTTGGTGTTGGGAATGATAACCCATTGAGAGGCTCCTTGTTACTGGTTTACCGGTAAGTACTTCGGTTCATTATATTCTTCGAGGTAGTTACATATGATGAAATTATTAATGACTAATTCATTATCGTGTTCAATGCAGTATTAAAACAGGCAGGATACACTCCCTACAGCTCTGTATATCTGGATGCAAGCAGAGTTAGTTAGAGGGAATGCGAGGTGCAAGTACAGGGAGTATACAGACTGTCTCGACGTCCTGACACGGCACCAGGTTACGCTCTCTTTACTATCATACATGTGTCTTGTTCGATGTATACTGTATCACAACATAACTCAATTATGAAATGTTCAGGTGCATTGATGTCCTTGGGATGCTCCGGAGCTCCAGTACTATCTGAGTCTTATCACTAGGGATGAGTCAAACGAGTATCGCTGCAACGTCCCTCTTATTTTCTTCCACGTGATCGAGATTCACTTACCCATCAGGGTTTGCAAGCAGTTTGAAAGAATGACAGGCTACCCACCACCGCTTTACTCCACCAACCAAGAATTGTATGAGTGCGTTATCGATTAATAACAAAGCTACAATTTAGATGTGTGTATGGTACAACTAACGATCGTTTTGTTGCAGGTATGACCATAGGAAGAGATACAAGACTACGGATTGACGCGTGACACACAACGCGTACATCCAGTTGTGGTAGAATAGGGACCGGCAGTCGGTCGATGCGGGTCCCCCACACGACCAGAACACCTTCGACGAGTACCTACGGTGGCTTCACAGTTCTACAAGGACACATCACATATCAAGCCCCCGTACACTGAGGAGGCGATTGACGAGGACGACGAGGAAGATGTGATCGAAGATGTGTACGATGTTGCCACTAGGGACGACACACAACTACAGAGAGCCCTGCTTCAAAGATACGTGGTAAGATACTCGAATGGTATAATTTGTTACCCATTTGGTATTAAGTATGTGTACTAAAACTGTTCAACCGCGTTTCTGTACCCAGGCGACACAATTGTCAAGGCTGTCCAACAAAGCAGCGTTTCTGCTTCACGAGTCTAGAAGGCAGGGGCCAGGCGTTCTCGAGACTTTTATGGAGGTAAACATAAACTTTTTCGTTCTGAAAATATTTCTTTAGTGTATATGCGTTTGGGAAATGCACTAACTTTAACGTCTATTTATGCAGAAGATGAAGCGGAGATGCAGGAAGCTAGCTCAGAAGTTGAGCTGCATGGACACTCCTTGGGTGGAACCCGATTACCCGGCGCGGTCGGGTGGCACATCTTCTGGCTCTTTGAGGACACCAGTCGACTCTTCTCAGCCGGTGACAGGTGCCGCTTTCACAATGCGTACACCACCACATCATAGCGCTGGGAAGGACCCTGCAAACGATGATGACGAGGACGAGGACGACGACCCCCCGGGCTTCCGCATACAGCACCACCAGTGAGACAATTGGCAGCAGGATGAGATCGGCATGTGTCAACTTAGTGGTGCCCCGCTTGGTACCCAAGGAGCCTCACAGGTAGTAACAAAGGTGGTTTCTTTAAATACGTAGGCTCCATGAACTAACGATCATAAATATTATAAGTAATATCATATACTTGTAGAGTACTAGCCGTACGCACCGACAACGTGACCACACCGATGTTAGCTACACTCCCAGTGTGTTGCCTATAAATTCGAAGAGACAGAGGCGTCCGATGGATCCTTACACTCCTGGGACTTAGGCCTCGTTCGCTTGTCTTAAATTTGGCTTGTTCGGCTTATTTTTTCAGCCGGAACAGTGTTTTTCTCTCACAACAATTCAGCCGGAACAGTGTTTTTCAGCCAGTTTCAGCTAAAATTCAGACCAGCGAACGGGGCCTTAGTTGGTTATGTCAAACTTATGTCGAACGAATATTGTCGTCCGAAACTTGCAGACTTAGTTAGCTGGTTATGTCGAACTTACGTCGAAACAATTAAAATGTTATGTGGCAACTTGTCAACTTGCACACGAACTCTATTTATTTGCTTCATATTCGTTTCAATGCGTCGCGACACTTGTAGTTGTTCAGCTCCTGTTCGATTTCAATTGAGGCTAGTCAGCTTTTGTCTCGTCCAGGTCCTGCCGCACCGTGGGCTATGGTGCATCAGTGTCGCGCCAAGTTGGGTGGCGCGGCAGACCCTGCCACGTCACCGGTCAGCGCCCCGGTCGTCGCCACGTCACCCCTCTCGCCGCGCCACCATGCATGGCGTGGCACAGGCGTTTCGTCGCGCCAGGGAAATAGGCGCGACCAAAAGTGTTAGTTTTGGAAAAAAAACAGTGTTAGATTTAAAATTAGTTTACAAAAAGGTGTTAAAAATAAAAAAAATTCTCTTCTGAAATCCTAAAACCTCGCGTGTGGTGTAATGGTCCAACTTGCACCTGTACATTTCTTTTTGGGTCGTATCTAAAAAGCCCGGTTAATTTAGGCCCTAAAATATGCACCTAGGTTGTCTCATGGGTTGTCAGGCCAGGTCTGGGCTGGGCTAAAGTTTTTTGGTAATTTTTTTTAGCACAGGGTTCGGGTTAGGTTATACGCCCATTTCCTTCAAGGTCTTGGACTCTTGGATGGTTCCATTTCCATCGACCTCACTAAAGAATGTAACTATGTTGGGGATGCAGGTGCTGTCCAGTATCTCAAAACGGAGCTGAGGATATTAAACACATGATCTTCACATGTGACCGAGCGAAAAGTTTGGCGGTCGCTGGGTATTGAGGAGAAGATACAACGCCTACTGATGACTGACCGTTCAGGCTCGGTAATCCTTGAGGAAATCTTTACAAGGGATGATCAAGTTCATACTCTTGAGGTGGGTTTAGTGGAGTTAGTCATCACAACCGGTTGGTATATATGGTGGGAGCGTCGGCAATTGGTCCATGGAGAGACCGTCCAGCGACCGTCAAGGTCTGCCATGGCTATTGCAGCACTTACCAAGAATTATAAATTGGCAACGAAGAAAGCTTCAGTTTTAAAGCAGGGGTGGAAGAAACCTCCAGAGGGTAAGGTCATGGTGAATGTTGATGCAGCTTTCGATGAAAATGGTGGCTGCGGCAATGTTGGCTCTATTATAAAATATTGTTCTGGAGGTGTCTTAGCAGCAGCCAACAACTTTGTGACACATCTTGTTGATGCACCGATGGCGGAAGCTTATGCGTTGAAGGAGGGATTGATGCTAGCACAACACATAGGGTGCAACCGATTAATCATCCAATCGGATTACAGGGAGTGGTACAAATTATGAAGGATGGAGGCTTCTCAGCGAATTCGGCAGCTGCAATATATGATGATTGCAATATCATATGGAGTGGTTTTCAAGATATATCTATTGAACATTGTAGTAGGGAGGCGAATCGGGTGGCTTACAATCTAGCTAGAAGACCTCGGCAATATAAACAAAACTGTACTTGGGTAGATGAGCCACCTAGCTTTATTTTAGATTCCTTGACTAACGATGTAACTATCTTGAATGAATAAAGCTTGCCGTATTGGTTAAAAAAACATGGTTTCTTTTTTTTTAAAAGATTGTTTGTCCTTTGTAAGTTTACGAGTGGTATATGACTGTACACCTGCTACCATTGTCTCAAAGAGAGCTATAAAACAGTATTACTATGGTGGATGACGAATGAAGGATGCTTATTATTCTCACCATATTTTGTCCGCGTTGCTCTTCATGATTGCTAAAACTTTAAAGCCTCGTATTTTATGTTTTTTTTTTTAAGAAGTGACAACAATTTGATAAAATTGTATCAAACATATGTAACTCGTCAAACTTCCATTTAATGGTACATTTCTAGCTAGTGATGGATGGCTAATCTCAAGTACAAATTTGTTTAGAATTTACATTTCTAGAGCTATATGGTTTTAATCTAAAATACAAAGTTGCTCAGATTTATGTGAGAATTATTTCCCCCAGCTCAACCGTGTAATCTTCATCCTTCTAGAGATACCCGTAACACTAACACAGAGAGACTGAACTCTCCGATTGCCTTTAAAACATCTTGATGGTTAATACACACGACATTTTAATTAAGATCATAAAGCTCATAACTAAGTGTGATCAATTGACCATTCATGCTACTATGTCGCTATCTTTATTTGCATCGCCCTCTACCCAGCACGGAAGAATCTCCTTTTATCTTTGTATACGCTAAACTAAGGACTAATTTGTGTTCCACGCTCTATTCAAATGCATGACACCAAGAAAGGCATAAAGGCAAAGGCCGCTTCATCAAGCTCACCTGATTCAAAGCGGGTGTTTCGGATCAAAGCAAAAGAAAGTTTGAGAACTTCAAATGTAGTACAAATCCATTGAGAAACCAAAGCAAACAAAAAAATTCATAATACACGTTGTTTTAATCAAATTCATATCGAACGTGCCGGCCTCGTGCCCTTCCCGTGCACCTCGACGGCACTAGCACGCGAAAGGAAAAGCCACCGATCCAGTCCAGCCTACGACAACCAGAAGCATCCGAGCCGTTGGATTTGCCGTTTTAATCCTCTCTTGGAACACTCTAGAACCCCAGCCGATTTGGATTTAAACCCGGGTCTGGGTCGCGTCGCCTCTCATCACTTTCCCCTCGTGCGCTCTCTCGAACCTTCCAAAGCTCCCCCGAACCCTAGTGAGCTCGGAACCCTAGCCGCGCGCGGATCTCGGCTTGCTTGACCCCTCCTCCACGCCAGCCATGGACGAGGACTTCGAGATGCCCCCCACCGGCGCCGACGAGATGATGGGCGACGACGGGATGGGCGACTTCGGTGGCGACGAGGGCCCGGTGTTGAAGGTGGGCGAGGAGAAGGAGGTCGGCAAGCAGGGGCTCAAGAAGAAGCTGCTCAAGGAGGGCGAGGGCTGGGAGACGCCCGAGGTCGGCGACGAGGTTGAAGGTCGGCTCTCCTCCTCCCCCCCGGTTCTTCCCCTGCTGCACTTTTATTTCTGTTGGTGTGATGCTACGGTCAGTGAGCATTCGCCCAGTTCTGGCTGGGAGTTAGCTCACGGAATGGAATTCGGATTCTCTTTGGTGTTGTGTCAATTTATAGTCCCTTGATGATACTGGATGATCTTTGAAGTACCTTCTCATCTTGTTGTGGAACATTTTTAAACTAGTGAACTCATCCTTACTTACTTACCCATGATGATATTTCAGTGCATTACACGGGCACACTCCTTGATGGAACAAAGTTTGACTCAAGCCGTGATCGCGGAGACCCCTTCAAGTTCAAGCTTGGACAAGGTAAATTTCTTCCTCCCCTTGAGGGTTACTTCTTCTGTGTCTCATGTTTGGATTTTGGGTATGGATTTGGAAGTAGCATTAACAATGTGATGGTAAAAACAGTTTCGAAGTTACCAGTCTTTTGTTAGTTAGAGAAGTGGTTCTAATCACTTTGTCAGTTTTGTTCCATCAATATCATGGATATTGCCAAGAATCAGGACATTGAACTTTTACTGTATCTATGAAATTGATGTGAAGTTAATGTTGAAGCTGGTCATTGCTTGGTTATGGTATAGCAAATTATCTTGTTTCTGTGTTTCTGTTAGTTGCGCAGCAATGTCTAGTCCCTGTAGATATGTATAACCACAAGCGATGCTTACCTTGGCTATGATGTTTGAAAAAAACATGCTAATGACTGAGTAAATTCTAGCTTGGAGAAGTGGTTCTAATCACTTTGTCAGTTTTGTTCCATCAATATCATGGATATTGCCAAGAATCAGGACATTGAACTTTTACTGTATCTATGAAATTGATGTGAAGTTAATGTTGAAGCTGGTCAGTGCTTGGTTATGGTATAGCAAATTATCTTGTTGCTGTGTTTCTTTTAGTTGCGCAGCAATGCCTAGTCCCTGTAGATATGTATAACCACAAGCGATGCTTACCTTGGCTATGATGTTTGAAAAAAACATGCTAATGACTGAGTAAATTCTAGCTTGGAGATCATTCTTTTTCTCTCTTGCCTGTTTGTTGACATTGCTAGGATGGAAAATAAATGCTCAGTAGCTATTTTGAAAATGTCCAGGTCAAGTGATAAAGGGTTGGGATCAAGGCATCAAGACCATGAAGAAAGGAGAAAATGCTGTTTTTACCATTCCTCCAGAGCTGGCTTATGGAGCATCTGGTTCACCTCCAACTATCCCACCCAATGCAACCCTGCAGTTTGATGTTGAGCTGCTTTCATGGACCAGTGTCAAAGATATTTGCAAAGATGGTGGCATATTCAAGAAGATTCTTAAAGAGGGGGAGAAATGGGAGAACCCAAAGGATCCTGATGAAGTACTTGGTAATTTTTTGCTTATTGGGACACTTTTCATAGATTGTTTTTTTGGGTTCATATAGCTTATACTCTAATTATTGCTGTAGTGAAATATGAGGCCCGTCTCGAAGATGGTACTGTTGTATCCAAGTCTGAGGGGGTTGAGTTCACTGTAAAAGATGGTAATCCTCTTTACTTATGTTATGTCTTCACATGGCCTGCTGAAGATGTTTATGTCTATCGGTTGTTTTCTAACTAGTGTATTGCCAGGGTACTTTTGTCCTGCCTTGGCCAAAGCTGTCAAGACCATGAAAAAGTCAGAGAAGGTGCTCCTTACAGTAAAGCCACAATGTGAGTTTCTTTTTCAAAGTTTGATTATTATTCTGCAAGTTTCATGTTTAATTCTTCTGAATTATGTCATTTATTTGAACTTCCTAACTTCAAATGCAGATGGATTTGGTGAGAAAGGTAAACCAGCAGCTGGAGAGGAAGGTGATGTGCCACCAAATGCCACTCTGCACATTGACCTTGAGTTGGTTTCATGGAAGACTGTCACAGAAATTGGTGATGATAAGAAAATCCTTAAGAAGGTTCTCAAGGAGGGAGAAGGTTTTGAGCGTCCCAATGAGGGTGCCGTTGTTGAAGGTACGATCAAGTGGTCAAGTACTCAATTGTAATGATGCTAGTAGCTGTTGCTTCTCAACTCCTTTCAGTTGATTAATTTATCTTTCACTGACTAGATTATGTTTGCTGTTGGCAGTTAAAATTACCGGAAAGCTTCAGGATGGCACAGTGTTTACGAAGAAGGGGAATGATGAAGAGCCATTTAAATTCAAGACCGATGAAGGTAAGAACCAACATTTTATCTTTCATGTCTGGGACTCTTGGCCTTTCAGTTAAAATAATAATTCAGGAAATGGACTTCACCCTGTGATTCATTTAGAATAACATGTTTCTTTTGTATTATGATCTGTTTCCAGAGGAAGTTATTGATGGTCTTGATCGTGCTGTATTGAACATGAAGAAGGGCGAGGTTGCTCTTGTCACGATTCCTCCTGAATATGCATTTGGTTCAACTGATTCCAAGCAGGATCTTGCTGTTGTTCCACCTAACAGCACAGTGGTCTATGATGTTGAGCTTGTTTCATTTGTGAAGGTGCGGATATGACTGATATTCTTCTTTGTCTGTTCTAAATAATTGATCTGTGTGCAATTGCAAAATTGATCAATATATAATCTTGTCACACAGGACAAGGAGTCGTGGGACTTAAACAATGAAGAGAAGATTGAGGCTGCTAGTAAGAAGAAAGAGGAAGGGAATGCATTGTTCAAATTGGGCAAATATGCTAGAGCTTCCAAGCGATATGAGAAGGTACTTCATCTTTCTTTCTGTTCTGTAGTAACCCATATCATGAAAATGCAATTTTCAGTCCTGCAGGGTTGTTCCTACTTTAGCTGACTTTTGTTTTAATCCCAGGCTGCCAAGTACATCGAGTATGAAAGTTCATTCAGTGAAGATGAGAAGAAGCAATCCAAGCAACTGAAGATCAGCTGCAACTTAAACAATGCTGCTTGCAAACTGAAGTTGAAGGACTACAAGGAAGCTGTGAAGCTTTGCACCAAGGTACAATCTATTCCTGAACGGTCTGTTTAGTGGTGTGAAGTGTGATGCAAAGCAGGCTGACCTTGTGATTCCTTTTCAGGTTCTGGAACTAGATAGCCAAAATGTCAAGGCTCTCTACAGGAGGGTGCAAGCGTACATTCAACTTGCTGACCTAGAGCTAGCAGAGGCCGATATCAAGAAGGCACTGGAAATCGATCCTAACAACAGGTACAGTCTTTAGGAAATGGATTCTGTAAGGTGTTCTGTTGCCACGACAATACTCTTAAATATCACGCTGATCATTTTGGAACGAATCCCAGAGATGTGAAGTTGGAATACAAGACCCTGAAGGAGAAGATCAAGGAGTACAACAAGAAGGACGCCAAATTCTACAGCAACATGTTCGCTAAGATGACAAAGTAACTGGCACTGGCCAAAGACAGCGTGAGTGTCTTGTCTTTTTTGACTGCGAGCTCCACTACATTCTGCTTCAGATGTACTTACTACAGAGATTTTGTGTCTAACCGATTGATTCGTCGCTAATAACAGATGGCCTTTGGGGTGGAGGATGTAGTGAAGCAGAGGATTACAAGCATGCCGTTTTCTGCTGCCCAAGGACTTCGCCTGTTGCTTAACATTTCGCTTTTGGCATACTTCGTAGTCAATTAGTGCGCACGGATGCTTGGATATATGTGAAACTTGAGGAACAATTACTTCGAGGATTATTGTTGACTCTGAATCTTTCTGTTTTCTGGTTCTTGTTGGGACCATCGAATGTTGTCTTTTACGAATCTTATGTTTTGCACAAATGTTCTTAATTTCCTATGTAGAAAAATGCTCCAAATTGGCTAAATCTAACCTAGAAGGCCTAAGAGGAGTGACCACGACACGAAAACCAAACCGGAGCTCCAATTTTAAGGTGGAAACGTTCCATGTACAAGCCCCTGCTTCCCGGTGAACCACCACAGGTGTACAAGCCCCATCACTGTTTGAGAAACGAAGATAACTGGAATTCCACAACGTCTGCAGATCAATGGAAGGACTACTCTGGACACATCTAGTTAATTTACACTAGCAAATATATAATAACATACAAACGGCAAACCGAGTTCACAATCCAAGTAGCAAGATGCCAAGATCCAATCATGTGCTGGGACGAAGGTCCTGATATGACTATTCAATCTACTATCATCAGCGTATATATAACATAACAATGGATGCCCCTAGCTGATGCTGGCAGATGGATTACTGTACCGACGAGCAGCAAATGAACGGTACCCACTGCTGTTTCCTTCCCTTGGGTTTCTTCTCAACAGGCAACCTGGCGGGAGAGTTCCAGTCCTGCTGCCCTGAACCGTCTTTGGGCGAACCTGGCTTCACCGGCGACGCATTGTCTTTGGATACCCGGCGCCTGAACGACAGTACCCGGTCCTTGGTGCTCGCCTTCTTCTCCTTCTCTTTGGTTTCCACGTTCTTGTCCGCGAGGAGGACCTTCAACGAGACGTGGTTCTTGTCTGAGTCGGTGACCATTTCCTTGTCGGCTATCTCTTCGTTCTGATCAGTAGCTCCCTTCAGGTCATCTGTTGTTTCTATGGTGCTGATCTCCTTTGAGGCTGTATCTTCCATCGTCTCCCTTTCTTCGATGACATTTGTGTTCTGTGCCACTTCAGCGGTTTCATCTGTAGTGGTGGTGTTTTCATTATGCTTGCTGCTTTCTGCATCCTCTGTGCCTTGTGTTGTGGCGTTCTCAACAGATCTAGGATCCGCTGTAGTTTCTTCACTCTGCTTCTTGTCTTCAGCGTTGCCTATGCTGGTAGTGTTTTCATTCTGCTTGCCGCTTTCTGCATCCTCAAAGCCTTGTGTTGTGGTGTTTTCAACGGGTCTAGGATCTGTTGTAGTTTCTTCACCCAGCTTCTTGTCTTCAGCATTGCCTATGCTGGTAGTGTTTTCATTCTGCTTGCTGCTTTCCGCATCCTCTGTGCCTCGTGTTGTTGTGGTGTTTTCAACAGGTCTAGGATCTGCTGTAGTTTCTTCACTCGGTTTCTTGTCTTCAGCATCGCTTATGCTGCCCATGGTACCAATGCTGGAAGTAGGGTTAACAGCAGGCTCCCGATCTTCTCTTCATCAACACCATCACTGGTTTGTGCCACATTGGTCTCGTGTGAAATAGGGTCTACACTTGTGTTTTCATTCTTCTTCTCTTCAGGACTGTCAGTAGAGGTAAGCAAACTAAACTTGTCTAAGGTGGGACCTGACGTAGTCTCTTCGTACATCTGCTCTTTGACATTATCAGGGCCATGTACCACAATATCATCATGAGAACCTAGGCCCTCGTTAACTTCTTCGTTATGCATCTTTAACTCATTAATGCTGCTGTCTGCGATGTTAAGAGAGAGTGTGCCTGAAGTAATTTCTTCATTAGGCATTTTGTCTTCAACAACATCTGTGATGGTTCCCACGTTACTCTCACCAGCAGTAGCATTATTTTCTCCAGTAGCTTCTGTGCTGCGTGCCACGTCTATTTCATGGTTTGTTTTTACATCATTCTCATCCTGCTGCTCAACCATGTCTCTGTTACTTGTAACATTGATCTCTTCAGAAGCCAGATTCGCAATGAATTCTTCAATCTGTTCCTTTTCTTCAGTACTACTCATGCTTTGTACAGCACTTATCTTGTAAGAAGTGGTGTCTCCAATACTTTCTTCATTCTGCTCATTTTCCCTGTGATTATCAGTACTAGGAAAAGAATCGGCTTCATGAGGAGCAGGATCTACAATGACATCTTTGTTCTGCTGTTTTTCTTCAAAGTTATCCTTGATAACCATCTCTTTTACCTCATATGAAACAAGGTCTGTACTGCTTTTTTCATTCTGACTCTTTTCGTCAACGTCATTTATACTACCGACCACATGTGCTGTAGCAGAAGGAATCAAATCCACTACATCAACTAGAGATGGTACGAGAGTACCACTTGCCACATTTTCCTGCATGCTGTCATCCATTGTTATGCCAGACGAACAAACATCCTCTGTAAGGTTAGCTGTGGCACCAACAGCAGGTCCAAATGTACTTGATATTGCTCCGATGCTTTCATCTGCAGAATGTGCATCAAATTTCAGTTTGTAAACAGTTACTATACAACTCATACACAGTTACTAAAAGGTATTTGGTCAAAACGTTTCCAGGCCACTGGTGTCTCTGTTGACTAGACTGACTTGTCGTCAACTACATATTGTACTTGTGAAACATTGCATTGTTTATCAAATTGCACTTGAAGTAGGGAGTCATAATTGCACATTAGGTAGAAGATCAAATGATACTTATGACATGAGCAAAGAAATGTCAACTAATCATGCATTACCACTGAACCCTTTCCACAATTGGCCAGACATTAACACTTTATCAGAATGCAAGTACAACAGAGACATTACTTGATAGCTCAACTAACCAAAATCAAAGTACACTGCTCGATTAAACATTTTTCAGCTTCTTACCAAACTTTTTCAAAAGATTAAAGAAGCTTTAATTCAACTTTGTAAAATAAAAAATCAACATGAAATGCAGTACACAAGAACATCCAGAAAGTCCAACCTGTTGTAGGATCATGCTGTCCTTCAACATTGTCAGCCCCTTTGGAGATTGCCAGATGATCTGCCATTCCAGAGGTAGAGTCAGGTTGCTGCTGAGCTTTGATATCATCAGGTATCTCTGAGTGGCAACCATCTTTACCAAGTTGAAGCAAGTCATCATCTGTACCAACAGATTTCTCAGCAGAAGACTCAACAGGCTCAATGTTAGGAACTTTCTCAAATGATTCAGTTAACTCATGCTTGCTTTGCTGTTTTGGTTCAGTTTCGTCGCTCAGGATTTCTTCGCTGTTACTTGCAGTAGGATTCTTGTCACCTGAATCTTCCTCCACTACAGTGCTACTGTGCCCCTCACCAATCTCAGTCTGTAGAATATCTTGACATGAGAGACCAAGCTCGTCACCTTGCACAGATTTTCCCTCACTAGATTTACTTTCACCTATGGTGTTGATCATACCACCTTCCCCAGTCACAGCAACCCCATCATGCTGTCTGACTACATCACTCGTCAGTTCAGAAGTTCCACCTCCAGCTGCATCTGATTCCAGAGGCACAATACTCGAGTTCTGTATTTCATTTTCAGAGATTTCAGAACCGAACTTTGCAGGGTCTTCAGGCTCTGGTAAAACAACAGAAGTGGGAACATCCTGGAGCTGTTCAGAAGTAACTGCTAGATCAGATGGATCCTCATCCTCAATAGGTGATCCTTTTTCAGAGTACCGTGTAGCCACTGTAGTCAGAGTATCATCATCAGTCCTGCTGGCCTCAGAAGTGATTTCAGAAGGAATATTACTGCTACTGATGAGGCAATCTTCAGCAGATTTATCTCCAATGACTTGATGCCCAGCACCATTACCTGAAGGATCTACAAAAGACAATCACAGAGTTATCATGCATCCAGACATATGCTGATATGCGTATTACTTTTAAATGCATCGTAAAACCCATTAGCAAAGACCAAAACATGCATTGAAGAGAGTGTACGCATATCGCGCAACATACTCCTATTTAAATAGCTCCGGACTCTATGACAGTGAAGCTATGTAGCAGCGCAGCATGGGGACAAGTTGGCGAGACGGTGTACTGCTATCAAATGGCATGTGGCCAGCCTCACTAATTTATTGAACAGGTTTATTATACCAAACTTGATGTGTAGTATGTGTACAGTTTGGAGGTTACATGGACAGCGAGGCATCCCTGAACCATTATTAACACAAGGATTTGTATTGCATACACTACCCCCCACATATGACAACAAAGTACCCACATTATGCTAACCAAGAGGATAAGGACACGCTTATTCCAGACTCTACTAGCAATAACTTTCCACCAACCAAATCTTACGCAAGACACATTTCCCACTTCAGAAACGAACAAAAAGAAACGAAGAACAGCAGGATTCAGAGAAGGGGGGAAGGAGATTCAGAACGGACCTGCACCGGCACCTGCACTGTCCCCTCCTCCCTCCACCGCATCCCCAGGCTCGTGCGCAGATCCAGGCGAACCACCGCCGCATTCCGTCGCGCCAGCTCCATTCCCATCGGCTCCCGCGCCTGCTCCGCCCTCACCTGGGACGCCAGCCACGAGAGCACGCGTCAGGACAAGAGCCCAGCTTGGAAACAGTCTGACAGTCACACAGCGACACGGCACCACGGACTCACGGAGGGCCGGAGCCCGGAGGCACGGAATCCACAGTACCTAGAAGCAGCTCGCTGCCGTCGTTCTCCCCGGCCCCCTCCTCCGCCGCGGCGGCGGCGGACGTCGGCTTGCCGCAGTGCTTCCGGTGCGCGCGCCGCTGCTTGGCGCTCGGGTGCCCGTTCGGGTACTGGTACCCACACGCGTGGCACAGAACGCCCTCCCCTTCGGCTCCGGCTCCGGCTCCCGCTCCTGCGAGAAAAACCACCGCGCCGTCACATCTCACGTTACAAGGAGAAGAAAAAAACGGCACAAAAAAAAGAAGAAGCAGCAAATGCAGGCGGCGCGGCGGCAGCGAGGGGGACTTACCGGGCGTGCTTCCGCCTCCGCTCTTGTGGGCGCTCTCCATGACGACGGACGGCCCCGTCGCGGCGGCAACGGCGAGGGAGAGGGAGGCGAGTGGGTGGATTGGTTGGTTGCCCGATCGCTCGCTTTGCGCACTGGGAGTGTGTGTGTGTGTGTGGAGAAGAAGACGAAGGCGAGGCGAGGGAGGCGCCCTCACGCCGAGGATAATGACAACGGCGCGTACCATAATTGCGCGTGGACACCCACGGAATCCCTGGCCCACACGTCATCGACACGTTACGGTGGGCGCGTCGGACCCGGGGTCTCGGGTCGAGACCGTGGGCAAGGCAACAGACAAGGGTCTCGCCGTCTCGGGCTCTCTTTCTCTCTCTCTCGTGCGGTTCGCGGCCGGGGAGCGCATCTGGGCCGTCGGCGGCGGCATCGACGGGCCGGGATGACCCGTAGTGGAACGAACGGGGCGGGGCCCACCGGCAAGGCGAGAGGATCCTTTGCTCCGCCGAGTGGATAACCTGCGCAGCCTTTTGGGCCAGTTCACCCTTTTCACTTTTTTTTTAACCGCTTCGTTGCCGATGCCGCGACGGCGATGTAAGATGCAATGCAGCAGCGGTGTACCGTGTGACAAAGCGCCAACCAAAAACCAACCAGGCCATTAGAGAAGAGAGGCAACATGCGTGCTCACCGGAACGTGGCGGCATGTGCCAATTGGGGACACCGGCAAGGACGACCGCTGGGGTAGGCATGTGAGGGCTAAGGACTACTATGGAGCCGTGAATGGTCCCCCAGTTTGTTCCGTGCGTGAACGGTAACACAACTTTGAATATTCCAAAAACACACTCACACAAAACTTCGAAGGAGCCAACCAATCATCTTTCGTGGTGATGGGTCACGAGAGTTAATTTGATCATTTCAAACATGCTTGAAAAATTTTATCCTCTGTTCTTTGTCAATGCGATAAATATTTGTGTGGGGGCTTTATAGGCCCGACCCCATTGTCCATGTGGGATAGGGCCCTCGAGCTTCTCAAATCCTCATGCTGATCCGTCCTTGCCGTCAACTTTTACTATTTTCGTTTCACATTTGCATTATTCTTGTTAAAGAGACAAGTAGTTTAGATATATTTATACTTGTAGATAGATGCTCTCTTTTTCATAGCGCATGTTTCGTTAGGAGGAGTTAGAATGGAATTATACGCTCAACATCACTTCATGGCGAGATGTCATTGGTGATTAGGTGAACACGAACACAAAACACCGCTAGACGGTGATTGCACGTATTTGTAACTAAGACACCAATTGTGCGACGGATGTAGCAGCTGATAGCAGACGCTAGCGGTCTCTTGTGCCGAGCACCGACGACAGGCTGGTATAACCAGCGCTTACCCAGCTGTACGCTTCTTCGATGATGTGGCAGAGGATCTCCTGCGGTGTTCGGGAGACCCTGTCGAATGTTCTGCGGTTGCGCTCCTTCCACAGGTTCCATAACGTGAGCAACACCGCCGAGTCGAATCCCCTCCTAGCAGGTTTTGGCACCGACTTTCTAGTGCGCAGACACCAATCCGCCAAGGAAGCATCTCCCTGAGGAGAGAAGCCTTGCATACCAGCCATATGAAGCAGGCGATACCAGGTCTTCCTTGCAAAGACACACGAAGCCAGTAGGTGATCCGACGTCTCCATCCCTTGGTCGCACATGACGAAAGTTGCATTTTGCTGGAGGCCATGGCACCAACGCCGCTCTGCAGTCCAGAGTCTGCCATGAAGTGCGATCCAGGAGAAGAACCTGACCTTCGGCGGAACCTTGGCCTTCCAAAGTTCCCTTGCGCCGATCAACGACGACATCCCGGTGAAGAAGGACCGGTAGGCCGAGGAAGCCGAATAATTGTCGTCCGCTGTCCAACGCCAGATGAACCGGTCTGGAACAGCTGTGTGCAATTGCACATTCTCGATCTTCTCCCAGAGCAAGACATAATCGCAGAGGACAGGAGCTGTTAGTGCCCCTACGATGTCGCGAACCCAGCTGCGCGGCAGCAAAGCTTCTTTCACTATGCGTTCTCGGCGTCGGCAGTCAATTGCCTGGAATAGGCTGGGCGCGAAGGAGCAGAGATTTTTTTTAACATTTTTTTAAAACTATTTTTAAATCTAATTCTATTTTTTTTTTCTAAAACTAACACTTTTGTCGTGTCTATTCTCGTGGCGCGGCGATAGGACGCGGCAGGAGATGACGTGATAACGACCAGGATCGCTCAACGCTGACGTGAGCTGCCGCGGCACTGTGTCCAATCTATCGCGTTACAACGGGACTACGACGTGCAGGAAGCGACGGCACAAGGTGCAGGTATGGCAGGGCATCGAGCAGAGCTACGGCCTACTACCGCCTACGGGGTCAGAAGTTTTTGACTGATCCCCCAGCGGGCTCCTACCGAGCGGCCTCACCACCGAGCCAGCCGCAACTTATCCACCGTTCAAATATTGCTTAGTGAAACAATTTATCTCTTTCTTCTTCTATGAACCAGAACAAGGAGAAGCCGCTATTTTTTTTTGCTCTGACTCCTCTAATCATTGAAGCACAAAGCCGTTTAAAATATCTAAAGTTTGACCAATATAATGGTAAAATATTAATGTTATGGCACCAAATAAGTAAGGATTAATGGGGTGTTTGGTTTCACAGACTAAATTTTAGTTTATGTCACATGGAACGTTCACGATAATTAGGAGGATTAAACATAAGTTAATTATAAAACTAATTAGATAGATGAAGACTAATTTACGAGACGAATTTATTAAGCCTAATTAATCTGGCATTAGCATATGTTTACTATAGCCAGACATTGTTAAATCATGAGCTAATTAGGCTTAAAAGATTCGTCTCGCAAATTAGTCTCAATCCGTACAATTAATTTCATAATTAGTCTGTATTTAATACTTTATACATGTGTCAAATATTTGATGGGACTTAACACCTGCTGAGGAGCTAGCGCATGGCGTGGGCCATTGTTCTCGCTCGATCAGTTTCTCTAGTCTGTGTCGCCCATGACGAGGCATGTAGCTTTCTACCGTCTGTTCGATTGGACTTATACGATCCTATATTATCGTAGATTATAAACTAAAATAATATTTTTTCTTATATTAAACTAGTTAAATCAGCTCGCAGTAAATACTAGTAAATCACGATCGTTTCGGCCCAAACGAAAAGTCTGCTACCCTTTTCCTATTGCTCTAGTATTCGTCTACAGCAATGCACTGTACTCCGTGGTAGCTGGTAGTAGGAGGAGTAGTATTCGGAGGCTAGCCCCTGGGGCCAGGGCCCGCGGACGACGCTATGCATGCTAGCCGCTGGTGCAGCCATGCATGCACTAGCCTTTTGCAGGCTGCAGCTGCAGCTATATATGCAATGCTATGCAATGCAATGCAGGCCTTTGTGCTGCACCTGCACCAGCGGCAGCGATGATGCGACGACACGGCGGACGGAGCGTGTGCCAGTGCTTTTCAGAAGGGAAAAATGACCCGAAGACATGTCCCGCTCGGTGGTGAGGACACCTGCACCGAGAGATATCCAGTTCGGTTGGCTGGTTGGTAGTTTCGTGAAGAAATATTATTGGTTGGTTTGTGAAAGAGAAAAATATTATTTTAACTAAAAATTTATGATCGTTTACGACAAGCCACAGCTAAACGAACAGGCTGAGAAATTGTTTTACTAAGGCCTTGTTTTTTTTTTCCAAAAAGTGGTACAGTAGCTATTACATCGAATCTTATGATACATGTATAAAGTATTAAATGTAGATAGAAAAAAAAACTAATTGCATAGTTTGGTGAGAAATCCTGAGACGAACGTTTGGAGCCTAATTAGTCTATGACTGAACACTAATTACCAAATAAAAACAAAAGTACTACCGTAATCAAATTTCCAAAATTTAGCCAACTAAACCAGACATAAGCAATATTTGAACAGTGGATAAGTTGCGGCTGGCTCGATGGTGAGGCCGCTCGGTAGGAGCCCACAGGGGGATTAGTCAAAGCCATTCGGTCTCTTAACTTCTGACCCCGTAGGCGGTAGTAGGCCGTAGCTCTGCTCGATGCCCTGCCAATCTGCCATACGTGCAGCTTGTGCCGTCGCTTTTGCACCTCGTAGTCCCACTGTAACGCAATACTCCCTCCGTCCCATTGAGTTTATCGCTTGGGAACCGGGATTGTGAGGGGGGCACGGTTTTCCAACGACAAACTCAATGGGACGGAGGGAGTAGATTGGACACAGTGCCACGTCATGCGCCGTGGGTCGGCAGCTCCGACCACGTCAGCGTTCAGCGGGCTTGTCGCTGCCGCGACATGCCTGCCGTGCCATCGTGCATGACGACGTGGTAGCTTGAATTCGTCGTGCCATACGAATAGACATGGCTAAAAGTGTTAGTTTTTTTAAAAAAATAAATAATATTAAATTTAAAAATAATTTTAAAAAAATGTTAAAAATAAAAAAGTCAGAGCCGATATTTCCGTCTAGCAGCCAGGTGTCGGTCTAGAATCTTAAGTTTGTTCGGCTGTTTTTTTTTGCTGGCTAGATCTTTTTCCAGCCGAAACACTTTTTTTCTTTAAAAAAAAAAAGTGTGAACAGTGTCAACTTTAGTCCAGCCGAACCAGCTCTGCTCACGCCCTATCACCCAGGCGGACAAATTCTGATGCCCTGAACATTACGATCCGTTCTGTTTTATCGTGCCCAGGCCAAGTTAGTTTATGTTCGGCGCAACCACTCCCATCTCAAACGCAGCAAGAAGCCGAACACCTACCCTGGCTGGTATTAAAGTCGGCTAAACCTAATTTGTTGTGAGAAAAAAAAATTATAGATTCTAACTTATAAACCGTCTGATAAGTTCAAGCGAACAGGCCCAGTCCACCGTAGTCTTTTGGTACGCAGACTCGGCCCGGCAATCTTCAGCCTGTTCGCTTGCTCGTAAACGATCGTAAATTTCCAGCCGGGAACAGTGTTTTTCTCTCACACCAAACCAGCCAGCAGTAAATAATCCACGATACGATACGGCCCCCGAACAGGCTGCTT